CCCTCCGCATTTCCTGCCTCTAACCCAGTCAAAGGAAAACCCCAAATTTACTGTTATTGTTTGCCAACCCAACAGTCTCGCCCAAGACTCAGAGACAGGCCCTCAACATAAGGGCAGGAGAAGAGAGCCCGCCTAGACTACTGGTCCTGTCCAAACCGGGGTTCCCTGTGCCCTCTGGGCACGGCAGCCCAGCTGAGGGTGGGACCCTAACTGTGATAAAGGCCACCTGACACCTAGCACCTTACAAAGAAATTATCTCCTTGAATTTCTCACAATGGCCATAGGGCATAGGAATGTCACCCCGGTTTCATTGAAGAGGAAACTCTACTCAGTGGAGAGGAATCCAGTCTGTGTCTGCCCTTCCCCCACCCCGTCCTTAGCAAGAGGACGTCAGATATTTTTTCCAATTTGATTCCCCTCTGCTTAGCTGTGAGGCTTGGCAGAGCCGTTTTCTTCTCTGAGGGCGTCTGCTCACAGGCCAGTTGGAGGCTAGACTACCTCAGAGAGCTTTCAGACTGCGAAGATCAGGGTACTGGGCAACCTGAACTGGTGCTCAGTAGGTGCCTACGGGTGTCCCTAAGCCCTCTTGCATCTCACACCACTTAAGGGTGTTCAAGAACCACGCCCTGTACCCCTGCACCCATCAGGCCACAAACATTCCACGCTCATCCCATCTGGGGGTGTAGCAGAAAGAGGTTAAGTTTCCCCTAGAGACAGGGAGGGCATCAGGGGGCCAGGCTAGCGTGCATGGGGGAGAGTGGAAAGGCAAGACCCGCTCACCCAGCCATCTTCCCCGAATGCCAACTTCAGGCCCATCCTCACTGGCCACAAAAGTGTCCTGAGCTGGGCTCACCCAGAGGAGGAAGCAAAACTCAGTGTCAGCGTGTGGGGCAAGAGGCTGAGAGGGCTGAGACGGGCGCGGTGGAGCAGTGGCCCCTGGGCGCCCACATCCCAATCCTTGGACCTGAGTCGCCTTCCATGGACAGAGTGCTCTGCAGGTAGGATTCAAGGTGAGGGCCTCCTGGACTATCTGGGGAGGCCCAATCCCATCACTCGGGTCCTTGGGAGTGGAGACTCCTCCCTGGTTAGGTCAGAGAAGAATGGTAACAGAGGGTCAGAGATGTGCTGTGCTGGCTTCGAGGATGGAGGCGGCGGCCATGGGCCAGGGAATGAGGAAGCCTCTGGAAGCTGGAAAAGATAAGGCTACAGAATCTCCTGCAGCCTCCGAAGGAATGCAGCTCTGCGGAGACTGGATCTTAGCCAGTGAGACCCTATCAGACCTCCGACCCACAGAGCTGTAGCTATCACCTGTGTGCTGTTTTAAGTCCTGAAATGTATGATGACAGCAACAGAACACTAACGCAGCCTCCCAGACAGCAACCGGCTGACAACGCCCTTCCCCCTCTCCCCCCAAGTCCCTTCTGCCACCCTGTTCCCCCTCCCCCGGTTCCTGTCACTGCTGACACCTTCACAAGCTCAGACAATTTCTCAGGAAGCTAAAGCTGACGCTGGTTCATGTGAGCAGTGGTTTCCAGAGGGACGAGTAGTTTCAAGATGGGACCCAACCCCGGCTGTCCTTCCAGGAGTCGTGCAGGGACCACCGCCCGTGTCCGTGGGTCTGAATGGAGGAGATGTGATCCACCCATGACCGAGGGTAAGGAGGCCTCCCCTCTGGGCAGGAGACATGGTCTGCGGCTAGAGGCTCTCCAGGCCTTGGGATCCTAAGTTCCAGTCCAAGCCCATCAGCCCAACCTCCAGCAGGTCCCTTCACCCTCTCCATCGTCCCCTCACTTACAAAGCAGGGATAGCCACAGGCCTCACCTTTCCCCCACTCCCTACCCCTCC